TAACATTTTTATTTTGGTCTTTCTGGGTTGTGATGGTATGTGGAGTTTTGGGTAGGTACCAGCATTTATAGGAACATATTGCATACATCTTCAAAGCTGAAGATGCCATCGTCACATTCACCACTGTGAGTGTCTAAAATCTGATATTAAAATAGATACTGTATGGTCTGAAGTCAGCTGATTCAGGATATGGCCCAGTGACCACTGTAATGAACCTTCAGGTTCCAGAAAAGCAAGAAATGTTTTGACCAACTGAGTAAGTATCCACTCTTCAAGAAATATGTGTATTATGAAGTAATCTCATCACTTTAGTAGGCTGTCTTATGTTCGTGCAAGTTCCTTAACCCCTATTGCATCATTTTATTTTGAAATTTATTTTAAGGTATACTACAGTGCTTTGCAGAGGCTTCCAGCACTAGTGCGGCAGTGGTGGGGTGACATGGAGCCAAGGGTAGCAAGCCTTGTGGAACACATTACATCAGTACACTGTGCCCCTCTTTTATGTGCAGAGGAGATGAAGGTGATCCAGGGCAAAGACATGCATCATGGTAACATGCTGGTAATGAAAACTACTGCAATCTCTGATATAGTATTTGTACATTTCTTTCAACTGAATGTCATATGGTATCAAATTGTAAAGACCACAACTATGTACGTATTTAATGAGAGTCATGGTCTAGTTTATGTTTGGTGCTATCTTGGACTGAGCACTTTGTACCAGGTCAGATATTGGCAAAACTCCAGTGTGACAAAATAGAAAATTTAACTGTGCAGGTAGTAGGGGTAAGATCAAGAGCCCATTATGTATACTCCATTCTAAGAGATGCATGAAAATTATGTCATGTTACATGATGCATTCATACATACTGCAGGTGAAGGTGTACCCCAGTGTACGAGAAGTGGTGGCATTGTATAAAGTGGATGAAGCGTGCATGGAATTGTCTATTCAACTTCCCAGTAACTACCCACTGGGTCCTGTTCATGTTGAAAGCGGGAAACAACTTGTAGATGCTGGTCAGTGGCGTAACTGGATGATGCAGCTCACAGTCTTCCTAACACATCAGGTACATATATCATCCATTTTGTTTATACAGTGAAACTGTATGAGAGATTGAATTTGTAATGGTTTGCAAACATTGTGTTATTTGGTATGAGTGTTACCAAATACTAGAGTGATCGAGTCCTCAAAGTTGAGATTACTAGGGCATGTAGCACAAAAGTGGGAAGGTTGGAAATTGCATATGAAATGTTTGAAGATCTGAAAGAAAGGGACCACTTAGGAGTCCTAGGTATATCTGAGAGAATAATATTAATTTGAATCCCATAAGTTTAACTCTGTTTTTCTATCAGTTACTGGATAGTAATGTCTCTGCAGTAATTTGAATTTTTCTCCCCATATTTCAGTATATGTTTTATATACAGAGTATAAGCATGGCAGATCTTTTTCCTTCTCTTTTTAAAAATGAGTATTGCAATTTTTATACCACATTCTTCCAGAATATATCCTGTCATGCAGTGCACATTAAAAACATTCAACAAGTTCCTTGTTTCTGAAGGCTGTTTATTCTTAATAAGTTCTTTTAACTTCTGTAGACAATGGATCCATATATTCATATACGTCTGTCTGATTTACTTATTGTTTTCAGTCATTAGTTTATAATTTTTTGAAGTATTCAAGTATAATATATTCCTTACACTCCAAAATATGGTTCCTCAAAAAGAACATTGCCACCTACTGGTGCCTACTGAGATGTAATATAGGTATACTTAGTTATGATAACTTATTAAGTGCCAGCCTCCATGCAATCAGCATGTGCAGTGATTTGGATTTGAATTGAATTATGTTTTTCATCACTGATAGTATAGCTTTTAATCTCTATTGAAAAATACAATGCAGAAACATCTCCATTTGCTGTGAAGATATGTGGTGTGGTATGGGTCTTCATTACCCAGTCTGCATTGTTGGTAATATTGCAGAATGGCTCCATCTGGGATGGCCTGGCACTCTGGAAGAGCAACTTAGACAAGCGTTTTGAAGGAGTCGAGGAGTGCTATATTTGCTTTTCCATTTTGCATGGCTCAAACTTCCAGATTCCTCGGCAGTGCTGCTCCACATGCAAAAAGAAATTTCACTCCAGTTGCTTGGTAAGTAGATAGTATGTGCCTGAAATACAACTTTTCTCTGTCAACCTTTCACCTTTTCCAGTTTGTGTAGCCATTTCCTTCGTAAGGCTCTCCATTATCCATTACCACTTCCCTTAGGCAGCATGTTTCCAATTCTCTGCTCACTTTGCCATTTCCTTCTGTGAGCGTTTCAACCCCATATACCTTCTTTTCTTCAATACTTCTCTGTTTCAACACATTCCCTGCTCGGTTTATTACACCTTTACTGAGTGTCTGTTGTCCTATAACCTTTTATTCCAACCTGTTCCTTTTCTTTTCAAGTTGTCTTCCTTCTTCTCACACTGCTGCTTATATGGGGAATTCTAATGGTATAATTTATGGAAAAAGTGAATGTGAGGTAATATGCCACTAAATGTCTTCTCTTTTTCAGTACAAGTGGTTCAGTACAAGCAATAAAGCAACGTGCCCCATCTGCCGCAATCTCTTCTAACTCATGGAGTATTTAAAATTATTAAGACTAATATTATTGTAAATTGAATATTGTGCTAATAAAAACTTAAGCTTGTTGAACCTCCAGGTTCCCTGCAATTCCTTATGTTTTTTAATATTGTACTTTGTTTTCAAAAACAGCATGTTTCCAAAGATATGTAAAATTTGTCTTTGCACAGTACACTTTACCAGCTTTCTGTTTCATTCATATGCACTATGACAGAAATAAAAATGTTCTGAAGTATATTATGGCCACAGTTCAGAATGAACATCTCAGCTGTTTATAACAGTACAGAATTTTTAGGCATGTTTGCATGCTTTCTGTCCACATGTAACAATATATAGATTTTGAGAGTTTGCCTTCACTTTGTGACATTGCAGTCATGAATTGGAATGTGTTGCATTCACATGGTTAACACTCCTGTTTCATATTTGAAAGGTACAAATCTTGGCCTAGAGACTGGCTATCTTGACAAGGTTTTTTTTTTAGTTTTCTACAGTCCCTCCATGCATTTTTATATGTAAAGAGAACCAGCAGACTGGACCTTAGTCTGATGTATAATGATCGCAGTTGTTTTTGGCCGGTGGACTTTTCAAGGGGAAGGCTAGTAGCGAGTCATTTGTACGATAGTTCAATGTTTCGTCTGCCACTGGGAATGACGATGAGCTTATCGGACTGAAAGCCCAAACAAAATAATTACACTGACCGTGCCACCTCAGGTACACAGAATAGGCTCGTCCGCAAGCTTGTCCACCGGCCAAACACTACTGCGCTGACTATAATGACTGTCAATCAGTGAAGTATATAACCTGTGAAGGAGCAACAGAACAAAATCTTTCACCTTTCACCTTGAAATTCTGGAGACAGTCAAAGGAAGGGATGGGGGAACAATAACTGACTTGTAACACTCTATACCCTATACTGCATGTGCAAGGACTTAGTACGTTGGTAATCTGCTTGCAAAGATACTCGGGCTGTGGTGAAGCAGAGACAACTGAGGGAGGTGTGACTAGTCTGGCAAATAAACTGGAAAACAAAGGTTGTATTCCACAGAATGAGTAAACACTTTGTACATTATTTTTAAGGTGGTGTATTTCCGTTACCTGCTCAAACTTACTTTTCAAGTTTCTTAGCGTTTTTTTTCCACTAAAAGTGAAATGTTGTATATGATTTTGTATATCAGCAGTACGCTTACAAGAATCCGAAGGCTGCCGTGCACTAAGAAAATAGGAACGAATTCCGTCAACAATCTGGGAAGGAACGTATACAATTAATTCGACGTGGTGTTATGCGAAGTGAGCGCAGTTATATGTAGTAAAATGGAAGGTTATATTTAATGCCTACGGTTGAAGCCAGTGCTTCTTTACGATTAATAATGTACCTAAAAGGCAAATCAAAATTATAATTTCGGAGAATCTGAGAGCAGATTATTTCGGTGAATGCTTCCAACTATTTAGTTCATATTTTTTTTGTGACATCCTAGACTTTGTCAGGATATTTAGATAAGACTGATCATTCTCGGGAGTACTGTTAATATGGATTTCAGTACTCTCTGTATTCTGTATGCTATAAGTTTGTAGATTTTGACGTGATACACGTATTTACTTTTTTAGACCGGGATATGTTACTTGTGACTTTTCTGGTAAACGAAGCCCCTTCTCTCGTCCTGTGTTATTTACATTCCATAGATCCTTCTTAGGACTAAACCAAAGGATGTAGAACATGTCATTTTATACAATATACATAAACTTGGATACTTGCATATGGTTTTGTGTAATGCATGATGAGAACAAACGGAAGGGAAGTAAGTAAACTGCTGTTTTAGAGGGCCAGAAAACCTGTGTGTTTTGTGGCAGCAACACTGAAAACTTGCCATCTACAGTCTCTTTGGTTTTAAATAAAGTAATTTATATATCAGTGGTGTTATTCAGCAAAGAAGTGACATGGTGAAAGGTGAAATGTTCACTGACATCTGTTATTTGAATTTGGAAATTTAAGTTTGCAGTTTTGGAGCCCTGATTTTTGATATAAAAATGTGGTTAATTTGCTGATTGAATCTGAAGTATAGCCTTCTTCAGTTACATGTATAACAACTATATACACAGATGCACACATGTATGTAATATGTTATTGTAGAAGTGTATGTGTCTGTGGATAGATTGTTTTTAAGGTAATAACTTTGTCTTTGATTGTGAGAGGAAAACTTTCATGTACAGTTTTTACAATCCTATTGCAGATCATCAGTCAATACGAGAGATTCCAGAGGAAGTGAATGTGACTGTGTAATAAATTTGATGAATCATGTTTCTTCACTTGTTTTAGTCATTTAATAAAAACTTCAGTAGTGGGTATTGTCCTTATCCTAATGGTGAGTAAAGAAAACAATGCATAAATTATTTTCTTTCATATTTGCCTGAGTAGAGTGAACTAAGTTTTGTGATTTTTAATTTTGTGTTTTCTGTTATTTGCGGCAAACTCTTGGTGTAGAGCTAAATATTCCTTCTAAATTGTAGTGTTTTACTTCAAATTAACCAGATAATGGCAGGGTTTGCATTGTCTTCATAGTGTTTGTTCCTACTGGTCCTACCTTGGAGATGATCAATTTAAATTCTACACACATGCTTCTTAGATTTTATGCTATGTTAGTCATGGGCAGGAAAGGGCATGTTGCCATATAGGGGTGCTGAGAAATGCAGTATTTTGGTTGGAAAATCTGAAGGGAAGAAACACTCAGAAGACATAGGCAAAAATGGATTGGTGATATTAAAATTGATCATAGGGAAGTATGATGGGAGGTAATGGACTAAATTTGTATGGCTAATTATGGGGACCGGTGGTGAGCTTTTTGAATAAGGTAATGGACCTTTGGGTCCCATAATTTCTTGATTAGCTTAGCATATTGTCAGCTTCCCAAGGATTCTGGTTAAAGGAGTTGGTTAATCATGACCCCTCCAATTATTTTGAGATTATAAAACTTGTTTATCTCCAACCAATATAGTCCTCAATAAACTGATAACTGTCTATTATATAACTCAAAAGTTCACTTGAGTCTGTCATTGGACTCTGTTGTGAGCCAGTTGAATTCAATTCTATATTTTAACTTATACCTTGAACATATCATAGATTTAATTTTATATTTCCATTAGATTAGCAGTCTAGTCCATTAAAAGTCATTAGTTTGGTGATTTCCCCTCATTTCTTTTCAGGTTTAACAATGGTATGGTAGAAAGAGTGAATCAGAAAGCTTAAAAGAAACTATCTTGGCACTGTCACATGGTGATCTGATAGAATTCTCAGTAGTAAAGGTTTACAGTTTATAGTGTAGTTCATCACAAACTGTAACATGATTTCTGCAATTTTGCTATGCACTGATACAAAGAACCCTGGACACTTTTATTTAATCACTTTAATTTCTAATGTTTCAGATATATTGCATATAAGATATTAAATCTTTGGTTCGCTGTGACCAGGGCTTAATCTTCTGAGGCTAAAACTTACCTCAATAATATTTAAAAATTCACTCCTTAACTGAAAGGAGACTTATCTTCATTGTGAAGGTTATTTGGTTAATGCTGTTTACTTCAAGAATAATATGAAACCCACTCTGTGAGCAGACGTGCAGAGCTGTTGGATGTTAAAGCAGGTTGTACATATAGATACCATTGGGATTTAAAAGTTTGAATGAAATGAAATTTGTATTGACTTATGCCCTTCTTATGATCACCAAAGAAATAACATGTAGTATTATAAAATAATTTCTCATATTGTGTTTCACATCTTGTAGGACAGGCCCTGTAGCCCACAGCCAAGGAAATCAATTCATTCTTATAAGATGGGTACAAATGGTGTACACCGCAGTCAGTGGAAGTATGCAAAGGCAGATGAATTAAAGTGTGAACTTTTAGACTCTAATGAAAGTGGTGATACTTCAAAGGAGGTTAAGGTTAAAGAAGAAGAAGAAGAAGAAGAAAGTGTTGATAAGTCATATCAGGAAGTATCTGATCGTACAATACCAGAATCGTCTGCACCTCTGATTTCTGGTGGAAAATCACCGACATCTCACAGCTCTCCAAAACGTACAACTAAGAAAAAGGACCAGGCATCATGGATTACAAAAGGAAGAGTACGATTTGCTGTTTGTGTGTTAGGTTTTGTAGGTTATATATGTTATTTACAAACGGGTACAGAAACAGTACTCTCCCCTTCGAGTGTTAAAGTCTCAGAATCAGAGCGTTTGCGAAAGGATATAGATAAAATTAGTTATGAATTTCCATCACAGCCTAACATAACTTGGCGAAACTTTAGATCTGGTATTAAAATAGCACAAGATCCTAGTAACCCAAAACCTGCAGTATTTCTGCTGCTTCATGAGTTGGAGGATGATACACCAGCTTGCCTGGCAATGAAAATTGGCAAGGTAACCGCTTCCTTCCTCAATGCTACAAACCGAGAACCCCTTATCCTAGAAGGATTAGATTTTGAGCACAATGAAACCCTTGTTGAAGATTATGGAATAATTTTAGATGAATTTTGCCCCAAGGTGAAAGAAAAGCGTGCAGTGATTGTAAATAATCTCCACAAGATACATGGCAAAATAGCCCAATCTTTCCAATTCTTCTGTGATGGTGAGAAGCCTCTTGTAAATAATACTGTTTATATCTTTACTATGAAAGCTTTGGGGGTTAACCATGCTTCAGACAACCCCACCAGCTTGGCAGAGAAGGAATTAAAGAAGTTGTGGGGTGGTCAGTTGGATGACGATGTATTAACACCTCTTATTGTTCGAATCACCGACATAACCATGGTAATTAGTCCAGAAAGAAATCCTGCATCATGTTTCACAGAGAAGTAACTTCATAAAGAAAGTTGTCTTTAATGCCATTATAGTATTGTATTACATGTTTCCCATACAGCATTAAAGTGGAAACCAAGTTCAAGTTTTGCCTTTGGCAGATTGATGTTTTAAAAACATTGCACTTTTTTTTACCTACAGTGGTTGTGGCAGAATAATAAGGCCCAGAAAAATATTTGCAATTTTGTATGATTAGTTACTAGGTTATGATATAAGATTCTTCTGCTGTAGGCCAATTTTTTAGGTCTACTTAAAAAGCTGTTCTTGTTTGAAGGTAAAGGGTTATTTGTGAATATTGACTTCATATATTGCAGGTGTTTTAGAATAGGGTGTTGAGGAGGATATTTGGGCCTAAGAGGGAAGACGATGGGGTCTGGAGAAAACTGCATAATGATGAGCTTAAAAATCTGTACTCCTCCCCCAGTATTGTCAGGGTGATTAAGTCAGAAGAATGAGATGGGCGGGGCATGTAGCGCACATGGATGGGACAAGAGGTGTGCACCAGGTTCTGGTTCGGAAACCTGAGGGGAAGAGACCGCTGGGGAGACCTAGACGTAGATGGGAGGATAATCTCAGGCGGGATCTATGGGAGATAGGAGTCGGAGGAGACTGGATTTTGTTGGCCCAGAACGGTCCGGTGGAGGGCTTTGGTTAATTCGATGATGAACCTTTGGGTTCGGTAAGCCATCTAGTTAGTTAGTTATTATAATAACAAAGATTATTTATGCTTGACCCTTTGAGTCTTATTTTAATGATTCATTGCAGTTCTGTGATTTCACTCATGGAAGTGTATTATATGTAATTGCCAGTTTGGACATTTAAAGTTTTGTCAGTGTCTTATTGCTAAGTATTATCTGTAAGTGCATTATGAATGTAACCAAACTAGGGCCCAAGTTTCATGTTATAAATATTTAATCTCTCATGTGTTTTTCTGTTGTAATTTATAGTGAATAAACTGGGCAAATTATGATTTTACAGCCACTATTTTCTTTAAGGTCCATTTTAATACTATCTTCCTGTGACTGTCTCCAAAGTCGTCTTGCCTTAGGTCTTGTGTGCCAATCATATCCTCTTTTATTCGATCACCTTAATAGTATTTGATGGGACGTACAAATTATAAAACTCCTCATATGCAGTTTTCTCTATCCTGTTTCTCCTATTTCCAGATATATTCATATGCACCCTGTTCTTGAACTTCCTTAATCATATCAAATTTCACACCCATATAAACAACCAATAAAGCTGTAGGTTTATGTTTCTGAATCTTTAGGTTTTATAGATAGTAAATCTGTAATTGAATAGAAGGATGACTGCGAATAATGGTTTTGTGTTCTTTGGTGGGGGGAGATTCAGAATGACAGGAAGGCTATGAAAGTTCATTTATAGCGCAGAACTTATTAATTGATATCAAACGCGAAAAAATTATATACAGCTTCACATACTGATCCCATAGTTGTCGACTTTCGAGAGAAGTCGGTGACGTGACTTTTATCATGACATCGATGTAACTGTACTAGAGAAAGGGGTCAGACCGGATACAGAAATTGCATGATGCCCCGAAGCTGACGCAAAGCAGACGTGATGTATACCTCATGTAACGATTGCCACATTTGTTAAAATCTGGGGGGGGGGGGGGGGGGGG